ACTACTACTACTGCTACTGCTACGTTTGATGCGTACTAATTACTACTTACCACTGGTGCTACGACTACCTCAATCAATTATCCGGGACACTACCGCCATGACCATATCACTCTGACTAGCTCTTTCCATCACGGGCGCCATCGTGATCCACATCACCATTTCTGCAGTCATCGTCAGTTCGTCATCCTGATTCTTAACTTCGTTTAAACCGTTTGCAATTTCATCAACATTAGTCACGATCATGAAGTCCTGACAGCCGATCATGAAGTCCGACAGCCCGCGCATTGGTCCTTTTGATTCCATAGCATGCCTCGGCAGCGCTTGCAATCCAGCGCGTTTTCCTGGCGCTTGGAAGTTGCAGAATTTTGAGGCCTTTCTTTGTGCGGCTGCAACCGCGATCCCTCAGCACGACGGGTCCGCTGCTGTCCGCATCCCGACAGAGACCACCACTCAAGTTTGTTCACGGTCGGCCGCTGGTGCCAGTGCAAGACAGTCCTGCATGTCAGATAAAGTAACAAATCCTCCAGATCATCTCGGTCGCACTCTTTGTGATGTTAAGTCCTGATTCTCGCGATGGCTCGCAGCGAAGCTTTCGCCTTTCCATTCCTCATATGTTTCGGACGGCTCTGGTAGCGTGAGAGTAGTCGGCATGCGATATCCAGGGCTTACAAAGCTGCGGAGAAGCCAGTTACCCAAGATGCCCACTCCTTGATGCCACGCATGTGCTGATGCGGGCTGTGTGCAGGCTCGTTTGTCAAGCGAGCTGCCTGCAAAGCCATATCCCGAAGTGAAGTTGATCTGCAACACTGGTTGGTCGGGGGAGCCCCAGTCGATCTGTGGGCACACAGGACTTTGGCGGTGTTTCTGCTGTTTTTCGACACCTTGTGTGCGGCGGATTTGCTGCTCGGAAGCAGCTATTGTTGCGACACGGTGCCACATCTAGCTGCCCAGGCGTGATGCTCTACGGAAGGTCGATGACTTACTCTCCGTCTCCGAGGTCCTCAACCGAGCTTTCAAGAACGAGTGCCCTGGACGCGGTCGCTTGCTCTGCGTTGCACGCGTGACGTGCAGATGTAGGTACAACGTCGAGGCTGCAGCTGTTTCAGTGGCAGATGGGCGCCTTTGTGTTGAAACGACTCCAGCTGCTGTGCTTTCTCGTCAGTTCCTGGAGGATTCGTGGAAGCTCGGACACGTCAAGAGCGGGTTGGGATCCTCTCTCCAAGCAGTTGTTGAGTGCCTGAAGCGTTTCTCCAGTCCAATCTCCAGGTCCAGCCCCAGATCATTTAATTTCAGTTCCCGCCGAAAACTATATCTCAGCTTGTCCAACTGGCTTATGGTTTGCGCGGTGGCAACTCCACCAAGGACTACGGCAGAATCTATCAGTGGAGACATTGAGGCAGTCTTCAACGCAAACAGCGACTGCTTCATGAAGTACGCGGGCATCTGTGAGGCATATGCAACCTGTGCAGGCCTTACATGTTGGCTTCACAAAGAGCTCGAGCATCTTGAGCTGAGCCGAGCGAAGTGGCATATTCGTGACTCCTTGAGGTGTGGACCCCTCTTCTGTGTTCGACCCCTTGCTTGTACCACGCCAAGGCCAGCTTGAGTGACGCCTGTGAGCTCTTGGGTTCTGATATGTTTCGGTGCTGCTTTCGGGGATCTCCGAGCTTTGCATCATCAGCAAGCTTGTGATCGACCATGGGTGGATTTAGGAGCCCTTCAAGCTGTCAGGCAGCTTTACTCTTCCCAAATGCTCATGTCTGGTGCAGCATGAGCAAGGCCTCTACTGGGCAGCCAACCAGAGTAAGGCGGCTTGCTGTGGGTTTTTCTGCTCTTCTCGGAGAGCCCGGCCCTTCCAAATTGCCCTTATTTAGGAACTCGTTGCTGGAAATCATGTAATTACCGGGGTTTCAGCGCAGATCTTGCAATGTGCCTTTTCGCCTTTCTTGGTGGCTTCTTTCAGGCACTTCAACCCGCTCTGTGAAGGAGTCCATATTCCGCGACTTTTGGTTCATGAGCCTTTCCCACTCTGAATCCAAGAAGTTTGAGTTTTGGGGATCTTGGGATAGCCCTTTGCGAGCGCGATGGTTTTTCATCTTGACAAGATGTCTCTCGATGTTGATCACCTTCGCTTGGCAAAGCGAGCGTGGTGGGATGAAGCCCGTGAGTCCATGAGTAAGAGATTGAACTGGTGTGATCTCGCAGACAGTCAGACAGCGAACTGCCAGCTTCGAAAGCCGCATAGCTCCAAACGGTAGGCATCTCAGCCAGGTTCTGGCATGGCAGGCTGAGCAGCTTGCGCTGCTGGATGATCTGCTCCTGATGGCACATCAGCTTGAATTTGCTACAGAAATGCCGAGACGCTCTGGAAACCTGCCACGCTCGTTTCTGTGTTGAGTGATATTTGGATTCACGGTCGACGGCAGAGGCTGCTGTTTTTCCGTCGGTTTCAGGGGAAGGCCCAGGGGCGAGTGGGGTTGTGGTGTGCTGTGGTCCCGAAGCTTGTGCTTTAGTGTTCGGGACATGTCGGTGCGGAATGGAGAGCTGGCCTGTGCAGAAGCTTCGAGGCATTCAGTTTCGTACATAGCTTGCACGTTAAGACCGTTTTGGAGACAGTTTTTTTCAGCATCGTTGGTCAAAGCTGCTCAGGCAGACGACTCCTCGGACCTTGCCCAGAAGCTGCGGGATGATATCGAGGCATCCGCGCGCCGTCGGCTCAGCGCTTGTGGACGTGACTGTCCCAGGTCCACTTCTGGCGATAGTTGTCTGAGGCCATAAGTTGTCATTTGCCTTAGGTGGCACAGCTACACATCTAAGTTCGTGTACCTTTTGAGGTTGGTCATTTCTGAACTCTCATGTGTGGCCTCGGTGTCTCGACGCAGCATGGTGGCTTCAGCTTCAAGGGAGCTTTCGCTCACCGGTTGCAAGCTTCCGGAGCGCAACCGGCAGAAGCTAGGCTAGACATCGGTGGAGATTGCTGATCTCACCGGAATCTCTTGGCGGAGTTGTGACTCCTCAAACGTTTTCCATTCTACACGTTGTTTTTCGATTTCCAAGAGATTCAATTTCTGCGACAGGGCCTGCGAACACTGGTATTGGGGACCTGTCGGAGTTTAAAACTCTTTAACCCCGTCCTGGGGATTTGCCCTTCGAAGGACTTGACCTCAGAAATCCGAACACAGAGCGGCTGCGATCAGAAGCGGAAGCCCGTGCCTGCGCAGCCTGCAAGAAGTGTTCAGGCGCATGCCGCGGCGAGGTACCGGCCGTGAAGAACCGAGGACGTGCTCTCTTCTCGCTTAGGCTTCTGCTGCTTCTTGGCGTGGCAGGCAAGCCCGAAATCGAGTGAGTACTTGAGATGATCTGTAAACGGTGAAGCGACGGCGTAGGAATTTGTCGGGAGATTCCGTTTGCGTGGGCCTTGGATGGCTTGATTTAATCTTGGGAAGGGAGTGTCTGCAGCGATGGAGCTTCCGCTTGTTTGCATGATGGACTCTTGACGTGCCTAAGAGAACTTGGCACTACCGGCAGGACTGAGGCAGATATTGGACGTGACACCACAAGTCTGGTGATTCGTCGGCTGCCACAGCACATCACAACAGAGAGGCCGCTCAGAGTTGGCAGGTGTAATCCCGAGCGCCCGGCACATGTGTGCTTCTCTCGAGGTTGGTGGAGGTTCTCCGTGAGTCGTCAAGGGGACGATTTGACTTCGTGCACGTCCCACACGACCAGCAGACAGGGCTTCCCGGCCGCAACTTTGTGACGCGAGGTTGCGAGCTCTCCTCTGTCCGGCAGGGAAGGGCAGCCCAGTTGTATCGACAGGGCTCCCGGCACGTTTTGCCGCCAGTGTCTGATTTCGAAGAGGGAGTAGAGTCGCTACAGTAACGGGTTTTACTTGTAGTTGCATGCTGCTCCGTTCTAATCGATGCACGAAGCCTGCAAAGGCTGAATGTGGCATTGGCCTTCGTCAACTTTGTCGATCATGACGCGGCAGAGATGCTTCGCTGAGTTGGACAAACCAGGGCCTGCGAGCGAGAGAGCAGCTCGAACCTGTCCAGTTTCTTGTCCAAAGGAAAGCATACCGGACTCGGCTGACGCGGCCAGCCGGTGGTCGAAATCCACTGGGCCCAATACGCATCAGACCAGGCACCATCCAGGCGTGCCGAACTGCTGTGAACACTGACTTCAAGTTTGTCGTCACCTGTCGGAAAGCCGTGCTGACAGCGTTGCTGTGCTAGGGTTTGGGTCCAAACCTGGCGTACTTCACCACTCGTTTTGGGCTGGATGCCCTTGAGGGAGACTCGTCAGCATTATCAAGATGCAGACCCTTTGCTAGTCTGACACAGCCCTCGGGTGTTGCTTCATAGAGCTGTGTACTTTTGATCCTCCTTGTGGTTGCATAAAATTGAGATTCGCGTTGATACAAGTTTTAAATTTGTGCAACACTCTGCAGACCGTGCGTAGTCTTGTTTGTCCAAGGTGGCTGTTTGCTGAAATTGTAACAGTATTGTTGCTACTCCAACGAATAGACCATGTCTGCTACCACAATGTCGGCTACTGCATATATTACCACCACCACCACCACCACCACTACTACTACTACTACCACCACCACAATGTCGGCTACTGCATATATTATTACTACCACTACAACAACAACAACAACTACTACTACTACTACTACTACTCCTACTCCTACTCCTACTCCTACTCCTACTCCTACTCCTACTCCTCCTCCTCCTCCTACTACTCCTACTACTCCTACTACTCCTACTACTACTACTACTACTACTACTACTACTACTACTGCTACTGCTACTGCTACCGCTACGGCTACTGCTACTCCTACTCCTACTCCTACTCCTACTCC